CTGAAAAGCGTTCTTTAATAATTCAAGAGGTGAACTAGTTTTATCAGGATGTGTTTGCAGACTATGAGCAATATTCAAAAAATACTCGTTGAAAGCATCAGCAACATCATTAGATTGAATGTTCCTATTATCCATTTTAAACATAACTGGCATATAATTGTCTTTGGTGGATTTATGCAATACATTTCTTATAATATTCCATGCTGTTTTATTTCTATTATTAGAAATTTCAATTAACTGATTATAATGTAATTTTTTTGCTTCATAAATTACTTTCCTTAAAATATGACAATGTTTTTTATAATAAGTTTTTACTTTTGGATTGTTACTATATTTGATTAACTTATATAAAAATCTTTTACGTTTACAAGATGTCTTTATACCCGTAGTAATCCAACTTTTATCATTGTTATTGCTCAAGTACACAACAGGGAAGCTTGCTTCATAAATGTTTAAAAATGTAGATAAAAATTTATTAAAAGCACAATTAACATCAGTATTAAGATAAACTTCATTCCATTTTTCATAAGATAGCTGTTCAGTGAAATATTTAATAGTTTCACTAGTCAGCAATCTAGATTTATAACTAGATCTTGATTTATTGTTAATTTTATTGGTAGTAGCAAAATATTTATCAAGTATAAAACATTGTGCCTCATGATCAGACAGTGCATTACATAGGGGTAATGTTATACAAGAAGATAATCTTGATTTATCTACTAAAATATTGTCAATAGCTGAAGCATGATTATTTTGCAGTCTAGTCGGGAAATTTACAGTATGTACCATATTGAAAGTGTTAAGTAATACAGTCAATTGCTGTTTACGGTTATCGTTTAGTAAATAATCAACATTAAAATCTCCACATATTAATAATTCAATAGATGGTTTATACAAAAACAATAAAACTTGTTCTAACAGATTCAAGAATTGACAAAAATCACCTGCAGGAGATCTATATAAACAAACAACAACTAAACCCTGGCCATTAGATTCTATTTTAACAGCACATAATTCTAAAATTTTTTCCACACAGTAATTTGATAAATCAACATGACTAAAACATGTCAAAGTCTAATGCAAGAACAGCAACACAATTGCTGAAGCTTAAACCCAATAAAACTAAAGTAATCCACGCCTTGCAGGCATGTGGATTCAGCTTGCAGGATTCGTTTTTGCAGTTGGTTTCTACAGTCTGTTGTTGAAGGTGAGGTCTGCAATTGACATTCTGTTATGATGATATGTGGTTTCACTTACAGGGATACATAAATATGCAAAGCAATTGCTACTGGAGTTCACAGAATCCACATCTAACCCATGAAACCCCTCTCCATCCATTGAAAGTTGGTGTCTGGTGTGCTTTAATTGCAAGAAGGATGATGGACCTATGCTTTTTAATGAAACAGTTAATTGTGGAAAATATGTATGGGTCATTCTCAGGCAGTTCTTTTCAAAATTAACGGAAGAAGAAAAACTATGGCTGGTTTCAGCAAGACTCAGATAGTGCCCACACTGCACATATATCTATGCAGGCTTTGTCCAGTGTCTTTGGGGAGAGAATTATCAGCAGTGGTATTTGGCCAGCATGTTCACCTGACCTTATCCTTGTGATTTTTTCCTTCTGGTATTATTTGAAGGACAGAGTTTACATTAGTAACCCTTGAACAGAAGAACTTAAAGAAAATATTTGTATGGAAATTTCAAATATTCCTGCAGATCATCTTCAGAAGGTAAATCAAAACCTCTTCTGCTAGTGTGAGGAATGTCTGCTTGTAGAGGGACAGCATTTTCAACACACCTGTGATCTGTGAACAAGGGTAAGAACTTCATTTCATTCCAGATGTTATTGGCATGCTGAATCATTGGTAAAGTTCATGTGCACTTCACGGTGTGCAATGCGCCAGTCATGGTGAAGCACAGAGCTGTGTATGCAGCAAGCTCATTAAAAACACTCTGTATAATGCCATATATTCTGATGAAAGTTACTTAATTTTTCGGAGAAATATGTCACCTTCATCTTCAGAGTTTAGGAAGCAGGCAGCAAGCATTCAAATCCAACATCATTGTTATATGCCTTTTCTTTTGTATGTAATTCAGTAGTATTTTCCTGACTTGGGAGAGGCCCCTGAAGTTGAACTGGTGATATTGTGGACGATTATGTATTAGTTTTCTTCTGCCAATTCAAGGATTCATTTGTGACACATTCCAAGACTAATAATTGCTTCTTGGATGTCCAATATCCTGTCTTCCAGTGGAGTTACAACATGCTTGACATGGCAAAAGTTAGGATGCATCGTTTCTGCTTGATTATGCCATTTCATGATATTATTGCATATCTTCCATCATTCATTCTGCTCACACACACACATTGTCTTCTCACACTAGTACTTTCTATTTTATCTCTCTGTCAGATGTCTAACAGTGGTCACACAAACCTCATTTAAAATGCTTCTGTTTTGTTCTTATGATAATATTAAAGAAGATCTGTTTGTTGGTTATTATTAACCTTTAAACACCGGACTTCTGAAATAGTGGTAAGCTTGAGCTGGCCGGAGTTTATTTAAATGCCCGCTGCTGGTGCGCGTTTAAATGCCCGTTGCTGCTCTGCGTTTAAATGTACGTTTCTGTGAGTGTGCCTAAACAATTTAAGCTTTGTGTTTACAAATGCTGTATCTAACTCAATTTTTATGATAAACGGATGGAATTAATTATGTTTGTATCAGCAAAGAACATACTGTCGCATATTATAACGGAAGATTTGAAATTTTTTATACAAGTTATACTCTATTTTCAATATTTTGTCTTTTAATTTTGATGAGTACTGCATAAATGGTTTCTCAGTTCTTCACAGAGTTGTTCTGCATTACAAATTCATTTCTGTTTGTAACAATTGACAAATTTTAGCAGTCCCTGATGTCATAAAACAGATGGAAGCCATAAAATCATTTGGTCTTCTGCTAGCACTACTTACACTCTTCGGATTTTCGAATCTTTTGATTGAAGGTCAGAAGAATGAAAGAATGGCTATTCAAGAGAAAGCTAGAGGGGTCCCTTCTTCAGTTCTAAGACCTTCCGTTATAGCTGCAAAAGCTTATTGCTCTTTCTATGGGCCTGAACAGACAGCTGCATCGCGGCTGAGATTCAGAGTGCGGTCTGTTTTCTGTGCGTGCTTATTGAAATTGAATACTGTAGTTTTATTTCAGCCTATATATACATCAAGCAGATAACAACAAAAAAGGTATGTACATCGAATTTTACTATATATTTTTAACTAATTATTCTGCAGAATCTGCAATAAAAGTAGTGGCTCGTGGATGAGTTTGGGCACAACTCATACGTATACTCTTTTTGTTGTTGTTCAGTTGGGTATCATTTTAATTTTTTCTATAGGGCTTTACTCAAGTCTGTCTGGTAATTACTACATTTAAAAATAAATATTTAGGACTCTGCGTGCGCTTCTACTAGCGGCAGGTGCGCACGCTTCCCCTAGTAGAGTTTAAATGCCTGACTGGCCAAAACGGGGTACTTTGGCCAGGACGACCTTACTCACCACTGGCACAAACGGGGCACTTCGGCACTTAAAGGTTAAATGGTTAGGAGCTGGGATAGTTAAATTGGTTTAATGATGGGGTATGGGCAGGATGGCTGAGGAACTGATGTTCATTCCTGACAGGGGCAAGTGTTTTTCCATTCTCCACAGCATCCACAATGGTTCTGGTCCCACCCACCTTACTAGCCAGTGGATACTGGGGTCTAAAGGCTAAAGTGGCTGAAGCATGAAGTTGACCCACTCCCTCCCATCTGGTACCAAAGTTGAATCATTGAGCTATACCTCCACTCCCTAATACATCATCATGGCATGGTGTGTAATTAATTATGCGCAGGGACAACTTTAATGTACTTATTTCGTTAGGCTATAGTAATAGGTTTCTCTGAAACATCAGTACTGGGCAGTAAGATCAAACATGTTCGCGTGCTGTCATGTTCAATGATCATCTTCACAGTCATCCCCCTGTGAATCTGAGCTCGCACTTTGACCTCTGTAGATTTTGTTCTTAAGACAGTTAAGAAATCGCAAGAAGTATAATAAGCTTCGATACAGGCATAATAAAAGAACACCTCCCATGAGTCAAGTACCATTTTCCTACCAGATATAGGCAGCTAGAGAGCCAGAAGCTTATCGTGCCTTATAAAATCAATAAAGTTTACTAAAAATGTGGAATGCATCTGTAAATCTTTTACTAACTCATAAGTCACCTTGAGTAAAAATAAACATTCAGTACAGACCTTTCATATGTATACTTAAGCCTCATATTTTTGTGATTACACCACATTCGTACAAACGAATAGTACTGTCTCAGGGGGACACGAGCAGAAATAGTGAAGAGTTAGGTCCAAATTTAACAGATAATATGCCATCCCCTGGTTGTGTTTTCAGTTTGAATTCTGTTCTGAATTCAATTGTGTCATAAACAAAGTATTACAATAGTGATTACAAAATCTACTAAGAGAGATAAAAAAATATTGTTAGCTTTTCATAAAATAGCATTAAAGAATTACATATCAAGTTAATTCCTCATACTACTTTTTAGGGTTCAAATGGTAGCAGGTAATGCAACAGCCACAAAAAAAATCCTTCATTTCTTGGCAATTTCTTTCGCATATTATTTGTTTCGTGTGTTTAAAATTGTTTTTTAATAACAGGGTATTTAACATAGCATTTAGCTATGTCGTGATAAAGTTGTTTAAACACAACTGTGAGCACATGGTTCCGAATGAAGGACAGCACGCATAGGCGAGGGTTGTAATAGGTAACCTTCTTACCGACAGAGCTCTCGGCAGTTGTGGCAGCCCTTTTGCATCAACCGACTAACACAGCAATATAGATTGCAGGAGGAATGCTTTTGTGCCGTCATAGAGGCTACTTTGCAAGCAAATGACATTGGTTTCCCGGGCGTTCCCGGGCTTCCCTGGGTTCCCGTGGGTCAGAAGCGTCAGAAGGGTCAGAACGTAGGTTGCGGTTGGTTGTATTACGCATTTTTTTTGAAAAGTGAAGTTTGTCAGTTTGCGGTTGATTGGTATGTATGGATTTTGATTTAATGTAGTGAATCAAGAGGTCACGTTTACTCTTTTAGTTACATCCCCATGTTATTTCTGTTTGAGATTAAGTTAAAAGTGTATATGAAGTGAAATATTCCTGTTAAGATTTTCATGTAGGTTATGCTTCTTTGGATGTATCTTGAAGAAGGTCTGTTGAATCTCGAAACTCACCGTGTACTGTGATTGTGTTATAATATCTGTATTGTTTCTTGCAGGACAAATGGGAAAAAAATTTGCGCCGCCTCAGGGTGCTCGTCATCCAGTAGCAGACGGGTTTGAAGTTGCGGCCGAGAAGGCCAACCCGTGATACATTCATTCATTCCCAGGCATTCAGGACGGTAAGGCTGTTTTATTGCATGAACTAATGGCTTTATTATGTGTTGTTTAATCAAACGAAGAAATTAAGTTTAGCTAGTGTTTGTATTAAACGTTACCCCTCAAAAGAATGTAAATTGTTTTAATTATACCTCAAAACTCTTAGTGTCACTCAATATATCCTTAATATGTTGTGGTAGATTATTATAGACCTTTGTTCCTAAACAGTAAACTCCCTTTTGGTATTTACTCAAATTTACTAGAGGCTGATGGAGATTATTTTGCTGTCTGGTATTTAATCTATAAATCTTAATTTACTATGAATTTGTTTCTGTTTTTTATCACAAAGAGCATAAGAGATAGTATGTACTGAGATGCCAGAGGTAAGATTTCTAATTCTCTAAATAAGTTCCTGCACAAATCCCTCCTCCTGTGTCCCAACATAATTTTAATTATATTCTTTTTCATTCTAAAAATGTTTATACACTGGTTTGAGTTACCCCAAAAGGGTAAACCACAATTTATAATAGAATTAAAATAAGAGTGATAAACCATTTTTAAGGTATTTGTGGATGTGTATGGTTTAAGTGATCTTATTATGTAGCAGGCTGCACTTAGTTTAGAACTGATATACTCAATGTGGTATTTCCAGCTCATTATGTTATCAATGAATATTCCAAGAAATTTAATATTAGATGTAGATATAATTTGTTTTTTATCATAAACAATTTTTATTTCAGATTTAGGATTACTATTTCTAGCTGTCGCTTGAATGTAGTGGGGTTTGTTAAAATTTATAGAAAGTTGGTGTACTTTGAACCACTCATTTATACTATGAAAAGCATTGTTTATATTTACAAAGAGCTCATCATAGTTCGAACTTTTAACTAACAAACTAGTGTCGTCTGCAAATAATGCACGTGTAGGTACAGTTTTATCATTTATAGTTTTGGGTAAATCGTTTATATAAATGAGAAATAACAATGGACCCAGAATCGTACCTTGCGGGACACCATGTCTACTTTTGCCCCATGTCAGCAATTCATTGAGATTAAGATTATATTTGTAATTAAAACCCTTTGATATCTATTTCTGAAATAAGATTCAAGCCATAGCTTAGCTTTACCCTTTATCCCATAGAACTCCAATTTTGACAACAGAACCACATGATTAACACAATTGAAGGCCTTTTCTAGGTCACAAAAAATGCCTCCTGATTAAGTTTTTGCTGTTCAAGGTCTTACAGATTTCATTCACTAACTTGTATATAGCCTCATCTGTTGAAGATTTTGTTCTAAAACCAAACTGTTCTTCCACAAAAATCGTTATTGTTATTTAAGTGCTCAATCGAATGCTCATAGCTTTTTCTAATACCTTAGAGAACGAAGTTAAAAGTGATTCATTCATCAGTAATCTGTCAGACGACAGGTCCACAGTCTCTTCCAAAACAGTTCCTCCACTTAATGCGATCTAGAGTTTTCTCCTTCCAATGAGAATATCCTCTTCTGTCCCCAAGATCATCCAGCATCTTCTTACGTCTTCTTCCTCATCTTCTGGTTCGCAGACATGGTGTCTCCTGTTTTTGGAAAGAGACTCTCCAGGAAAAGTGATCATGTGGTAGTTTTTCCATTTGCTTTCCACATCGCAGTACAACAGCCGTTCAAACCACTCTAGTCACGCCTGTTGCTATACAAATTTGAACCATCTTGAGCTTCATTTGCTCTGTGCTTCAAGTCGATGCTGATGATGTTAAAAGTGATACAGGCTTATAATTGGAAAGGAACGAAGTTAAAAGTGGTACAAGCTTATAGTTTGAAATATTTGATTTATCATCATTTTTAAACAGCGGTCTTATTTCTGAGTATTCTAAACGATCTGGGAAAATTCCTTGTGATAATGAATTGTTGCATATGCGAGTCAAAGCAGAGCTAATGAAAAAGGAACTCATTCTTATTACTTTTTTTTTTTTTTGATATTTCATCGTATCCATAAGAGTTTTTTGCTTTGAGAAATGTAATTATATTTTCAACTTCCTTAGTTGATAAAGATTTAAGTTCAGTACGCGGAAAGGGATTTATAAAAGTTTTCATTAAATACTGAATGGGAGTAGTGCCTGGAAGGTAACTAATATTAGTATTAATTTTTTATTTTTTGCATTTTTATTTTCATCTACGGATAAAAAGTAATTGTAAAAGGTTTCCGCATTACTTGCTTTTCTCTAATCCATTTTCCATCCACCTTTAATGTGCATATTTTTTTTCATTATTTAGCCCCTTATTAGTTTCAAATTTTACTATATCCCATATGGTTTTATTTTTATTTTTGGAATTTTGAATTTTGTTATCATATTTTAGTTTTTTAGCTTCCGAAGTATTACTGTTTCTACATGCAACATAGAGTACCCTTTTACGTTTACAGGATGTTATTCCTATAGCAATCCAACCACTTAATTTGTGTGTGTGTGTGTGGTTTTTATTTTTTTTTATTACTGGAATAGTAAATTTTCAAGTAAGTGTCTAAAAAGGAGTTAAACATTGTATTAACATCATCACAAGAGTCCCATGTTTCATTGACACATCGGAGGTGCAGGTAGCACACACACATCACGCTCTCTCTATGACCTCGCCAACATTGCCAGAAAAGCTGCAGAGACAACCACGGCAGACAATATCATCCGCTTGGCCCAAATGGTAGCTCAGATCCTGTGTTTCCTCGCTTCCACCGGTCGCGCAAAGAAAAACCTCGGTTTCGCCAGAGACTAGACAGTGACCAACAAGTTCCTCAATGGAACAGGCGCTCCAAGACTTGCGCCAGGAGTTTCAAGCATCATTAGCACAAATTCAGCAGCAAATACAAGGCCTGGCCCTGACCAGGCCCCAGCAACGCTGAGATCCATCCTCCGCCGAGGATGACGACGACGAACAATACGAGCAGTTCGCTTGGCGAGATTTGGCGCTAGACCTGCCGGCTGCACCTCGCCTCCCTCCAGGGTCGATGACCTTGCCAAGGAGGTGAGACGTCGGGCAACCCTTATGACACAGGGACGAGACCTTCACGACATCCATACTGTCTTACACCTACTAGCGTCATGGGATACGTTACCCCAGCCAACACAGGATTACGCGGCTCACCACCTTCGGTTGCTGTACATCGCCATCACCAAAGGCTGGCCAGCGACACGTTACTACGACCAACAAGGCGCCGACGAGTTCCTAGACGTCGGTCCAGAGTTTTGGACTCAATACAACCACCGCCCTGACCCAGAGCGGCCCAGCAGAGGGTATCCTGGGCCAGGGGTCAACCCTCCACACGCCGGGCGTGGGGCCGACAGGCCAACCAGGCTTGCCCACAGCTGCATCAGACGACAAATCACCCGTCCCTGACCATTGGCAAGCCCAGTCAACAACAGAAGAACACCAGCAGCAGCAAATATGGCAACAAATAGCAGACTGCCCCTGCCATATTACGTAAACACAATTAACATATGTTATTAAATCAGTTATCTTCATCTGTTTCCTGTTACTTGCCCAATACACACTTTCTAAATTACATTCAATGTCCATATATGAGAAATCCGGGAATGAAAATGAAGTTACATACGAGGTTGATGCATTTGTGCATGTCATACTAAGCAAGGTATAAAAACAGTTGCTTTATGAGGAATTAGTTTGTACCATTGAATATTTGATGCAATAGACAAGGCATCGCAGAAACCGATGTTGCTATAACCAAGTTCTACTGTAGTCATCATCTTTATTCTTAAACTCTGGTAAAAGTTGTAATTAAAATTGTGAAATTTTATGTCCCATTTAATATTTAAGGTCATATTTTACACTTTTTAGGTCATATTTGACATAATTTTGGGTCATAAGTGCATGCATATATTTATAGTTTTTAGGTCATAAAAATCCAGGCCCTAGTTATTACTTTTATTTATCTTATAACATCAACTTTACTCATATTTATTACTCTTCTGTTTATATACATATAATTAATATAAAATCAATGTAAATTATGTGATTATAATAATAATGGAGAACACATGCTTGCCCATTTGAACAAACCTGGCTTCCTGCCCCTTCGGTGTGCACCACGCTCCATTAACAGGTCGGAAGCCCATTGGCTAGGCAACAGAATGGTTGCCTAAAAGAGGAAGATATAAAAGGGCTGGCAGTTAGTGGATCGGGGTGGTACATCGGAGGTGCAGGTAGCACAGGTAGCACATCCAAGCGGATGATATTCTTGTCTGCCGTGGCTGTCTCTGCAGCTTTTCTGGCGATGTTTGCGAGCTCATGGAGAGAGCGTGATGTGTGTGTGCTACCTGCACCTCCGATGTAGGCCTTACAGAATAATTTTCCCTTCTAGTAATATCGATGAAAATATTATCAATGGCTGTAGCAGAATTTCCATGAACTCTGGCAGAAAAATTGATTGTACTTATTAAATTATAAGTTCTCAATAACGTATCTAATTTGTTTTTGTTTACACTATCAAGAAGGTAATTTATATTAATATCCCCACAAATAATATATTCTTGTGTTGAGGTATATAGATTTCTAAGTATTGTATCTAGTTTTGTTATGAATGTATCAGTGTTTACAGTTGGAGCGCTCTCTCTCTCTCTCTCTCTATATATATATATATANCTACATTGCTAGTGTTTGGAGAAGCATAGCAGAACAATTACAAACTGGTACGAACTTTTTATTTATATTATTTCATGTACAAAAACTTATGAACTTGTAAACCAATTGTTGTTTGTAGTAGTATAATTTGTCAGGTAGTTTTAATAATAATAATAATAATAATAATAATACAACCCATGTAAATATTAAAAGTGACAGACCGCACATAATTACGCACATTTGCCATCTTGCCAAGGCACAGAACCGACAGGAGAGATACAATAATCCTTTAATTTGTCTCTAATTTGTACTGCTTCAGTACTTCCTCTGTGATGTGATGTAGGCGCTAGAGATCTTAACTGAGGACTATTAACATTTACTTCCAGAAAGTTATTTTCTAAGATAGAGTCATTGTCATTTCCTCTTTGACGTATATAATTATGTAGTACACATGCACTTCTTATTGAACCTTCTGCCAATTCAACGTTAGTGGCAATACTCGTTTGGAAAATTCCAAATTTTCGTACAAGTATTCCAAAAGCACATTCGACTGTGCGACATGCTGCTGATAATCTATAATTAAAGACACGTTTGGAATAATGAAGATCTCATCGAGCATATGGTCTTATGATGTAAGTTCTCAGCAGGAAAGCCCCATTGCCTACTAAATAAAATGGCATCACTACGTCAGTACCAGGAATTTCCCTAGGATTTGGAATATTCAATCTTCCATCTCGGAAAGCTTTGCTCATTCCTGATTCATTGAAAATTGTACTGTCATTGTCCCGACCATATGTGCCAACATCTATCATGATAAAATTACTATAAGCATCAGCAACTGCCATCAAAATAATTGATTGAAAATGTTTGTAATTATAATATTGTGAACCTGCATGGGGTGGGCATTTTATTGCACAGTGTTTACCGTCTACACTGCCAATACAGTTAGGCATTTTACACACTTCATTAAATGATTCTGCACTTTCGTTCCATCTTTGTGTTGTAGGAACAGGCATACATAATGGCTGCAGAATTCTCCATACTGCTGAATTAATATCTGTGATTATACAATGGATGGTGCTTATTCCAATATGAAAAGTGTAGCTTAGTGACGTAAATGTTTCTCCTGTGGCCAAATACCTAAGGAAAAAAAGGAATATCATTCCATTAGGGTCATATTTTATTTGTATTGTCTTTTCAGATAAGGAGGCCAGATTTAAATGGCAGAATTTGAGAAGTAATTATATGCGAGAAAGAAGGAAGCTGAGTACAATACCATCTGGTTCCACCGCAGATAGTTCAAAAATAACTTGGCCCTTCTTCACCTTGCTCTCATTTTTGGATGTTAGTCTCAGCCACAAGAAAACAAGGGGAAACATTCCCAACATAGAAAGCGGAAGTATGGAAGGAGAGTCGCAGCAAAATACTGAAGGAGAAAATCATGAGGCTGGAGAAGAAGATACCCAGAATGTTTCTAAAATTAATGCTAGTGAAAATTTTGAATCACAAAATACGAAAGATACTTCCTCAGAGAATAGAAAACTGAAGAAACCTGGAGCATCTGAACAAGATTACATCGATAAGATGTACCTGAACATGCTGGAGAAGGTGACCACCAGATGTAAAGATGATGATCCAGATTTCATGTTTCTAAAGAGTCTACTTAGTATTAAGAAACTGGGGCCCCTTGAAAATCTAGAGTTCAGAGGGGAGGTAATACAATTATTGAGGCATAAATTAACATCTGCGTCCCCTGTTCAGTTTCCCTCCGATCCATCTTCTGTTCAGTCAAGATATGATCAATATTCTCAGCCATCATCACCTGGGGCCTATTCTGAGTTCTCCATCCAGACAGATCAGCAGGTAGTTAATCAGCCATTGTCTCAAACATGTGAATTTCAAAATTATTAGCTTTGAACCATGCCTTTATACTTCTTTTCTCAATAACAAGAAAAAATAAGCAGGTATTAACTTTATTCTTACCTGAGATAAACAGCTAATCATTCCTGTGGTGATATAGAAGCTCTGTAGTTTGTATTTTATTTCACTATGTAGTCATGCAACATATTTTCCAGTTTATAGAATCCTTCACTACTCATTCGAAAGTAGTTATAAAATTTCCTTGGATCATTCAATAAATCTGGAATCATGTTTGAAAGTACCAAATGAATCTCTCTTCATGTTAATAGAATGAATCCAAAACATTTTCTTTCTCCTCCTTTCCCTCCTCCTCTGCAATCTTCTAAGCATAATAAATGCAATCATTTCCACGTCCATCTGGCCAGGAGAAAGAAAGATCACTGACTGACAAAGATGTATTCAGTATGAAACCTAATGACTGAAACGACATGACTGGACTGGACTGGACTGGTGTTGATGTGACTGGATTGAACTCATTCGGTGCGAAGGGACCCTAACAGCACATACCTCAAAATCTTTTTCTTTACAATATTTTTTTAGGTCTGTATTTACAAATTTCAAGCTTGTGCGTAGATAGATGCATACTCCCCCTTTTTCATACAAGGTTCTACAATAGTTTGCTCCTAGTTTATAAGAATCTATATTTAACTGTTGTAATTTCAAGAAATTCATGTGATGTTCGGGGATGCTGGGTGTAAATAACTTAATAGCTCATTTGCTTTCCCCCTTAAACCTCTAATGTTCTGATGGAAAATATGAAAGAATTTTATATCATTTTCTTTTTTGGTTACTCCATTTAAGGAAGTATTTCTTTTTGGAGCTCCTTTCTTTACCATAGAAAATCCATATTTTTCATACCTGGTAGTTTTTTGAGTATTTGATTTGCATACTGCTGCTTCTTCTTCTTCCTCCCCTCCCCCCCCTNCTCTGTAGTTGTTTTTACTGTGAGTCATTCATAGCTGGACAGTTATTAGCTTGTAGATTTGCATTATAATTTTCAGATTCCTTCCAGAGCAAGCAAATTGGTGTGAATTTTTATTTGGTTGAGAAATTGTCACACAAGTTGCTGCTATACGGGGTAAATCACGAAGTTTTACCCCATCTTATGGTGCATATTCCTGGGGTTATTTCCTGCAAAATTTCCTTATAAACTTGTCGATTTTCAATAGTTATGGAGTAACAATAGATTTTCGAAACACATCATTATGAATGCAGCGCTATGCTTCCTGCCTGGGCGACCATGCGTTCCAGTCAGCTGTGTCAGCAGATAAGGCAGACCGGCTGGAATGTTGCGCGTAGGTAGGCAGAGCGATCCAGTAGTAAACAGGACATTGTGTTGGTGACTTTGTGAAGTTAAGATGCCGTACACATTTTCCACTAAGGAATACGCTGATATAGTGTTTGTTTTGGGTGTATGTGATGGAATTGTGAGAGCCGCTGCTGCCGAATATCACCAGCGTTGTCCTAATCGCAGGATTCCGAATCCTAAATCCATTAGCAGTACATTCAACACATTAAGACAAACTGGTTCTCTCCCCAACGTTCGTATACAATAGGAACGAAACCCTCACCATGAATTGTGCGAAGAAGAAAACATTCTCGATGCTGTAGAGTGCAGTCTGCGTGCCAGTACGTGACGTCTAGCTTGGTGGTTTGGTGTTTCTCAGTCCATGGCGTGGAGGACTCTTCATGAGAATGGGCTGCATCCTTATCATTTACAGCAAGTACAACACCTACAACCAGGAGACCGTGTTCTTTGTCTGCAGTTCTGCAACTGGTTAAATGGAAATCGGAAGTTGTACCGCTTGATAATGTTCTGGGTTGAGGCACACTTTACACGGGACAGGGTCAACAACAGTCACAACTTACATGTTTGGGCAGACAATAATCCCCGTGCCACAATAGAATAGAATTTTCAACACCGATTTAGTGTCGGTGTCTGGCATGGTGTTCTGTATGATCAGCTAATGGGGCCGTTCATTTTTCCTGGCCACTTAACTGGTGAGATTTACCTCCACTTCTTAGAAGAAGAATTACTACAGTTACTTGAAGATGTTCCTCTGGCAACAAGATGCTGGATGTACTTTGAGCATGATGGGGTGCCTCCTCACTTCCGTGTAGTAGCAGCTCACTTGGATCAGCATTTCCCACAGCGGTGGATTGGTCACGGAGGCTGTAACACCTGGCCTCCCAGGTTGGCAGATCTAACGCCGTTAGATTATTGCATTTGGGGCTTGATGAAGGACATTGTGTACCAGGTAAAGGTACAAACACGTGAAGCGTTGCTTGAACGTATTCTGGACGCGGCAATGACAGTAAGGAAGAAATGTGTGGAACTGCGAAATGCTATGAGCGCGGTTCATACGCGTGCGACGCATTATGTTGACATACAGGGAGACATTTGTGAAAATCTTATGTAAATCCAGTCGTCTTCTAAAGCACTACAGTTTAAAGGAAACAGATTGATAGAAGGGTGTGATATGCATCCATTGGTATGTTTACAGAATGGGATGCTGAAAATAATGTAATTTTGTAACATAAAATCGATGAAAAATGTTGCACAATGCAAAATAAAGGAATTGAAAAAAAAATGGTTTTAGAATGCTTCTTTCCTAAAACATTAACGATTTAAAAAGTGTTTGTATTGTATTTCTAATTTGTTTTGACTGAAATTCGAAGAAGAAGAAAAGATTTTTCACCAGTTTTCAAATTACTGTATCTCCTTACTTATGAGTTGGATACCATTAGTATATTAAAATTTGTTGTTCCAAATTACCTCAGGAATGCCCTCCCTAAGTGGGGGAAAACTTTGTGAATAACCCTGTATGTTTTAAGTATTTCTTCTTTTCCTCTCCTGTTCAGATGCATACCTTGTCTTGTAAAGAAGTGTATATATAAGTCACAGTTCATTACTGTGACATGTTCATAACATTTCATGATTTTAAACAGTTTCCTATTAAAGGCATTTGTCATTACGCAAGACCAATCTGCCAGGTCGTGTCTGTGGTATACCTAATAGAATAATAATAGTATGAGTATTATTACTTACAAAGTTTAAAATGTCTCTTAGTCCCATTTTAAAATTATTTTTTCAGAAATCATTTGCACCTCCACTAAGTAGAAGAAGAACATTTTTTCCTAAGTTTAAAATAGTATCTTTTACATAATTAGGGTAAATAAATCAGCTTCTGGTTTTATAATTCCAGTTACCTTATAACTTTTATCAAGATTTCCTCTAAGTTTACTTGCACATCTGCTTACATGGCAGTCTCCAATAATTAATATAGTGTGGTTTCCTTTGTTCTTTGAAGCACTTGCTGCTGAATCAGCAACTTTCTCCTTGGGAGCCTCTTTCTCATTCCTTGCATTAGCCTCAACGGTTTCATCATATGAATGTAAGATGTCACTGTTTAGAACTTTATTGTTATTAGATGTTATTAGACCATTTATTATCACTGAAATGTTATTAATCATCTGTCCATTTGCATCATCCTTGTATTTACTATCTCTTGCTTGAATATTACTTTTGATACTATCTCGTACAGTTTTACTTGGTTTGAGAATTTCTTCCTTTGTTGCTTTGGTAGACTCAATAACCTCATTGAGGTTAGATAAAATTTCAGAATGATTACTTGGTAAATATGTTTCCTCATGATCTTTTAACTTATCTGTTATCTTCTTTTGTTGATTTGTTTGTATTTGGATCCAGTTTTTTTTTTTACACTTGGAGATATTTGAGACCCATTTCCATTATTTTGTATGACACTTTTATTGGCACTAGACAAAGCATCTGCTTATGAATTGTTTCAAGTTTTTGAGACAATATGCAATCCTCTTACAGGGCTATGGTATTGTCAGGAAGAGTTGGGATATCCTGCTAGAATGCTGCAGTATAAATTTTTTTGCAGTAGAAAGTGATTTCGCTACAACTGAACAGATTCGCAGTTCCATGTAGCTCAGATTCTGCAGCACAGTCACTCCCACAACTTCCTGATCCTTCATTACACACTATTTCAGGTAAGCGCTGTATGCTGCCTCTGTGAATGCAGTGGCATAATGACTAGTTTTCAAAGTAGTAGTCCTCAGAACCCAGTTGTAATCAAACAAACGTCATTATTATCATTTATTACTACTGAAACTGTATATCAGTTTATAGGTCATGGATAATTAAAAAATGTTTGAAAAGCAGAACATGCTTTCAATAATATGATTTATGAGAGAATGAGGTCGTAAAGACTTTACTATGAGGAGTACACATTTTTTATAGAGGTCAAGTAATATGTGTTATTTCCCAATGTGAAGAATTATGGTAATCCATCATGTAAGGAAGGAAGGACACTAATTTCACATTTTTCTGTTGTTCATTCAGGAGGGTGCTGCAGTGACTACCTGGCAACAGCTGCATCTATTGAAGAGGTTGACAAACTCTTTGAGAGTTTAAATAGTGGAAAGCACTGTGTTGCCCACTAAGTGATAACAGTCTGCAATATAGAACACTGGTTATCCACTTCAGCATGAAACACTGAGAAGCAGGATCAATATCAGGATTCAGTGAGAGTAGGACATTTTGTGTAATTTATTGACCTCTTTTGGTTTTGGTATGTTGTGTTTTGTTGTTATGGGTGCATTCCTTCTAATAATTTATTTAACTATTTTAATATTTTTATTATTCTGTTTTGTAATTATTGTGGGTGTACTCCTTGTCATAATTTATTTGCCTGTTTTATTTTTGGTATGTTATTCTGTTTTAATAATATGGGTGTTTTCTTATTTTTCCCCATATTACCCTGACCAGTACCAAACTGGTGAACATGAATATAAGATTTCCAATAATCATTGCATTTCCTTACGATATGTTATTAATTTTGCCAAATATTCCTGTCCATTGCTGTAATACAAGATGAATATCAGATTTCCGGTATTATGTAAGATATGTTATTAATTTTGCCAAATATTCCTGTCCATTGCTGTAATACAAGATGAATATCAGATTTCCGGTATTATGTAAGATATGTTATTAATTTTGCCAAATATTCCTGTCCATTGCTGTAATACAAGATGAATATCAGATTTCCGGTATTATGTAAGATATGTTATTAATTTTTCCATATAATCCTGTCCAGTACTGTAACTACCTGTAGTGGGCAGTGCTCCTGTATCTCTGGCTGTTACTTTGTGTTCCAGACTCTCTTCCATTTCGATGGGGGCCAACCACTGCAAAGTGTTTTGACAGTCATTTTTCAAATCCTGGCAGAAAACTTGAATGTTTGCTTCATGATCTTGAGCTCAATGGTTATCCCAAAGATCCTGCTGGATCCCTTCCTCAGATGTAGAAGCTGCCCTGGTATATCTGCCTACCTCATGGTCAGTGCATAGCAGATGTTCAACATGTTACATTATGTATATGAACTCTATGGGAACTTAGCTTCTTGACAGCTTGTATCAGTTATTTAAATTACATGTGCCTCTCTATGTTCAGTGTAGACCTCCAGAAATTGATGTCATTATTTTCTAGTTCACTGTTAATGAATGTAGGAACTAATGGATTGAGATATGAGCATGATTTTATATACAGCTGTATTAACATAAAGGAATTTTGATTGACACCAAATGTATAATATTCTCTATATAAAGTAAAAGGTAAAGCTATCCCTGTAACAGGCTGTGAAGGTCCATACGGGTGAGAGGGGTAAGGCTGCCAGCTCACAGATGGCAGTAAGGTTGTCAGCCTTATGCGCCAGCCACTCTTTACCCCCAGGAAGATTCCTGGTACTCATTTCTGTTAGAGGCTGAGTCAACCCCATGGCCATAGTGCGGCTGGAAGGATTAGGTCAATTGAAAAATCCAATAACCTCATTGGGATTTGATCCTATGACCTTCCGGCTTGTAGCATGGTGTCTCAACCAAGTATGCTACCACATGCCCCCTCTGTATATAAATGAAGCATAGTGCCTCAACCAAGTATACTACTGTGTGCCCCTTCAGTATATAAATGTAGTATAGTGCCTCATCCAAGAATGCCACTGCATGCCCCTTCTGTATATAAATGTAGCATAGTGCCGGAACCAAGTATACTACAGTGTGCCCCTTCTGTATATAAATGTAGCATAGTGCCTGAACCAAGTATACTACTGCATGCCCCTTCACTATATAAATGTAGCATAGTGCCTCAACCAAGTATACTACTGCATGCCCCTTCACTATATAAATGTATCATAGTGCCTCAACCAAGTATACTACAATGTGTCCCTTTTTTATATAAAGTACTAAAAATATTATTGCCTTACACTGGAATTTACTGTCATAAGAACTGTCAAATTTAGTGAAATACTGCATGCCTATTTGATGAATACTGTATGTGGAGCATGGCACGGCCCTTACATGATTAACCCTTTCACTGCTACAGTGATAGGTAACTTCAGTACCCTGTGTCCTGAATTATTTTTAAATAAATCTTATAAATAATTTAAGTGCAAAGTATGAAAATTTGTGATAAATTGTAACTAATCTTACTTCAGACAGGGAACAGGTATCAGAAGTTCGCAAAAATGTTGAATTATTCAGTATTTTTCAGAGGGGAAAAGTCAGTTTAAATCGGGGTTGTCAAAGATGCCCCAAAAAGTACATACTTCACTATCCTAGTCTTATTACTATGTCACATGTTTACCAAAGTCCACAACTTTATTTAAAACTATTATAGAATGCACCGCCCACTATATGAAGCCATTTTTGCTAGACCTGTGAAATGCCCGCATCACATTACCACGGGCCATGTGCCTCTCTGTGCAGATGCAACCTTTTACATTTCTTAAGCTAGAAGGCAGAAGAATGCAGCCATTGAAATGAATGATGCTTCATTATATTCCCAATAGCTGACTATGCACCCGCCAAGTTTGAATGAGATGTGAAACTCTTAAATTCACAATATGGGTTTTGTGGATTGCAGCAAGGATGCCGTGATTTTCAGAGATCGACCTATGTCGACCACAGCAGTGTAAGGGTTAAGTGTTATCCAGTTGCTTGCTATCCACCTGAATAGGTGTCTGCTTCCTCTCTCTTCTTCTCATTTTTGTGCATCTTTCTTCTCTTATTCTTCCTCCTCCTACTCCTCCATATATGTTGATAGTGCCTCCTGGACCCATTCCAATGCTGAAAGTTGTCCTAACCGCCTCTGTTTTGGTTTTCCCACATGTCAAATCTCATCAAGTGGTTTCTCAAGTGTTACCTGTATCTTTCGATATCTCCCATGATTCTGGTTTCCCTAAGTTGACTCACTGTGTGGTTCCTTCATGAAAAGGCCAGAGATTTTTGTCAGAAATTGTATTTGTTTAACCTCCAGTCCTTCAATGTCCTTTGGGGGGTGGGGGTTGCAAATTTGATGTTTTAGATCGAAACCGTACTGGGTTCATATGTACAGGGGGAATTTTAATCAGGTTGACTGAGTTCGCAGCTCTGCACTTCATGGCGACCCGTGCCACATGCGAGTTTGGATGATGACTTAGCCTGCTTGGTGGCAGATAATGTTTGGAATGAAGGAAAATAATTAACATGTAGAACTCTACATGGTATTATGTTCATGCATGGGAGTTTGTTTATATTTTATCAGCAGTAGGCAGCAGTTACCAATGCCATGAACCATTTGTTCCTAGTTAACAGTTAGTCAGCAGTGTGGCACGACATGCCTCGTGATACTTTAGAGCAACTTGTATATCTGTAGGACACGTACATGAAATATGGATCTGCTGGAAGGTGTCGGCGAAAATTTTATTGTAAATTTGATGATCATAGGGTTCCCAGCAGACAAACACTTCATAATGTGGTGAATAAACTTAGAAGAACGGGACTGTTAATATACAAGATAAAAAATATGTGCCCAGTGTTCACTGAGGAGAACTTAGATGACATAGGGACCAGACTTGTACATAGACCTAGGAAATCAATGGAACATCTAGCTCAGGAGACTGAGGTGTCAAAGTCTAGTGCAGGAACTTTAGCACAATTGCTGAAGCCATCCAGTGAAAGTTGGTGTGTTTGAATTTGAATTTATTTGCATTCCATAGACCCTAAGTAGGTTAATACCTCTGGATATAGAACAAGTCAAAATAATACCTACTGGTACAAAACTAATATAGCTTGGTTCTACATTATTCTCTATTTACATTGAGGTATTCGTCTACAGAGTAGAAGGAATGAGCATGCACATATTTCTTTAGCTCTGATTTAAAATGTTTAGTATCATCACTCAAATTTTTGATACTTTCTGGGAGACTATTGTACACTTTTATGCCAGAAAAGTAGACTCCTTTTTGATATAGTGATAAGTTTGATGAAGGTAGATTGAAGTTATACTTTTGTCTAGTATTCATGTTATAGATATTGGAATTTCATTCAAATTTGTTTTTGTTGTACACAACAAATAAGAGAAGTGATGGTATGTATTGTGATTGAAGAGGTAGAATTTTTAATTTCTTAAATAAATCTCTACTTGAATCTCTACTTCTACATCCTGTAATGATTCTAATTATATTCTTTTGTATCTTAAAAATTTTTACACTATGTGAAGAGTTCCCCCAGAATATTAATCCATAGTTCATAATAGAATGAAAGCAGGCATGGTAAACCATCTTCAGTGTTTCCTGTGTCATAAAAGGCTTAATTGATCTCATTGCATAGCAAGCTGCACTTAATTTAGGTATAGTTTGTTCTATATGTATTTTCCAAGACAGTGTACTGACTACATGTATTCCAAGGAATTTTGTATCAGGTGCTTTACAGATTAATTTGTTGACATAACTGATGACCAGATAAATTTGGTGGCTGTTTTTAGTTGAGAATGCTATGTAATGGGTTTTATCAAAATTTAGTGAGAGAGTATTGGCTTCGAACCATCTATTTAAAGCTTTAAATACAAAATTTATATCATTTTTGAAGTCTTCAATTTTAGAGTTCTTAAATATTATATTAGTGTCATCTGCAAATAGAATTGGTTTAGATTTATTATTGATAGATCATTTATGTAGAGAAGAAAAAGCAAGGGGCCCAAACTTGATCCCTGTGGAACACCATGTTTTATAATTCCCCAGTTTGAAAATGCATTAGAACTGGAATTTTTACTTTTTATCTCCACTCTTTGGTACCTATTTTTGAGGTATGATTTCATCCATTCATTAGCTTTGCCAGTTATTCCATAGAAATTTAATTTCGATAGTAAGATATCCTGATTTACACAATCAAAAGCTTTTGCTAAATCACAGAAAATACCTCCCACAATTAATTTGTTATTGAGAGCATTTAAAATATCGTTGGTTCGTTCATAGGTTGCTTTTTCTGTGGTTTGGTCTTTCCTAAATCCAAACTGTTCTTTGACTAATATGTTGTTAGAATTTAAGTGTTCAAGTAATCTGTTATATGTAACTTTTTCAGAGACTTTTGAGAATGAAGTCAGTATAGATATTGGTATGTAGTTAGAAATACACTTTCTCTTGCATTTTTTAAAAAGTGGTTTCACTGCAGCGTATTTTAAGCGTTGCAGAAAAATCCCTGATGATAAAGATTTATTACACAAATGATTCAATGGTGAACTGATGTAAACAGAGCTTGCTTTAAGTAAATTGGTAGAAATTTCATCATATCCATGTGAATTTTTGGGCTTAAGGGATTTAATAATGTTTTCAATTTCCTTTATTGTTGAGAATTTGAGATTTGGAAATGAAATATTAAAGGAATGTGACAGATAGTATATTGGATTATTATTATTATTAAGATTGCTTGAGCGCTCGGTGTGAGCGGACGTGCTGCGCTGTGTGCTCCCGCTACATCTCTTCAACTTCAGCTGCAAGCTTCTGTACAATGTCTCTGTGTTACACAGTGTGTGAACTTAGCCTGCTCCTATGGTGGTCAGTCGGGATACTTGTTCTATATGTGTCAAGCCATTTTATGGTAAACAAAAGTCTGTTCACTGTGGTACATCTGGCATAAGATTTCACTCTGTATGCATGCAACTGGGTGAGGCCGGTCAGCCTACAGTTACGGTGGCGGGTGAGTCTGCTTTCACGTGCGATGCATGCGTGACATCACTCAGCTCTAGCAACACTAAGGATTTGGCCAGCTCAACTGGATCTACATCTCTGCCCCCTGAAGATGATAAGCCTCACCCTACGTTGAACACAGAGTACGCGATCTCCACTGTAAGTACCCAGCTCGAAGCTGTTCACCAAAATGGTCAATCCACGCTGCACTTGATTGAGTTCCTAGTGGGCATGGTCAACAAGTTAACTGAAGAGGTTGCCTACCTTAAAAATGATAACGCATGCATGAAAGAGGAAATCGAGAGTCTGCATAGGCTTATTGTGGCTGCCCCTGGGCCTTATGCTGCAAGTGAACTACGCATTCCGCCTGCGGTAACCAAGGACACGGTCACTACTCAACTTGTACCGTTAAGTGCCCCTAGCATCACGACCCTGCTTGTTTCTAATCTACCTGCTGTTCCCACTACTGCGACCATGGGTGGATTGTCATACAGGGATGATGTAGCAACCGGAAGTTCTCCCACTGATGCCGAAGGCTTTAAAACTGTCAAGTACAAAAGGAAGACCCAAGCCAAGCTCCCCCCTGCAGATATAGTCGCAGTCAGCACTGTCAGACATCGCAGGCAGCCGCTTATTGGGGTTCATAAATCTCCATCCCTGCCTGTCATTGCAAAGAAGGAAAGGACAAAGGCACTTTTTGTTTCTAGATTTAGCCCCAAGGTCACTGCTGATGATGTACACAAGTCCCTCAAGGAGCAATTAAGCCTTAAAAAGTTGGTTTGCACCAGACTTAGAACTAAATTTAACACTTATGCATCCTTCCATATTACTGTTACTGAGGATGAATTTTCGCTAATCAATGATGTTGGTGTCTGGCCATCAGGATGCTTAATTGCCCCATATTATGGTAAGCTTGCGCCTGACCAAGTATTTACCCCCAGCACATCCGAAGCTGGAATGTCTGATGCTTCTGTTAAATCTGCCGTTAACCCAGCAGGTAACGACGTGGTAGATCTAGGCTGCTCGACATCCATCTAATCATGGCTGATTACAACGACTCTAGCATGGATGGTTTGGTCATGTCTCGTTCTAAGTCTGCCAGCTGTCTCAGAATATATTATCAAAATGTAAGAGGACTCCAGATGAAATATGTTGAATTTTATGATAATGTTTGTTCCACAGATTTTGACATTATTTGTCTGACTGAGACTTGGCTTAACAATTCGTTCTATGATTGCAGTATATTTCCTAGTAGATGTACCGTTTACTGGTCTGACCGGGTATCCACCAGCAAAGCTCGTGGTGGTGGTGGTGTCTTAACAGCCATTCCCTCCAGCTTGGGTTCCTGCAGGCGCAGGCATGATTTAGAACTCTGCTCTGAATGTATATGGGTTGAGATTCCCACAGTTTACAGCCACAATTTGCTTATTGGCAACCACTATTTCTCTCCTGACACTCCACCGGGAGCCATTATTGATTATTTTCACCTTCTTGAAAACATGCTTGACACCAATAGCTTTCGTGTTGTTTTATTATGAGACTTCAATGTTCCTGGTTTTAACTGGGTGCGTGGATCACTTCTGCCCAACTGTCACTACTATGCTAAACTTAAGGGGGATGCTATATACACCTCCGCATGTCCCCTTGGCCTTTGGCAGTATGCTGTAGCTGTTGACAACCATAACTTACTTGACTTAGTCTTCTCTAATCCCACCAATCTAAAGCCTGGTCCTTCTTACTCTGATTTGGTTAAGCCTGATCCATATCACCCTCCCTTAATTATTGATGTCCACCTTCCACATTTACCTATAATCCTGATTATAAATTCAGCCATCAAAAATTCGCCGCCAGCAATTATGCTCTGCTTTACAACACCCTATCTGCTGGTGATTGGTCAGGAGTATATAGAGCTTTTTCTGCTGATGATGCAGTTGCCAGCCTAAATGCTATTGTTGAAGCTGCCATGGAAGAGGCAATTCCTTGTTGCCCTACTCGCAAACCTAAATTCCCTTTCTGGTACTCTAATTCCTTAAGGTACTACATTGGTAAGAAAAATTACTTTCACCGTCACTTTAAAAAGAAAGAAACTGATTACTGTTATGACAGATTCATTTTCTATCGTAAGCTTGTTGAAAGCACTGTCAAAACCGACAGGCTTCGATGGCTGAAGTCAGTTAACAACGACCTGAAATCACAACCTCAGCATCTCTGGAAATACGTGTCTTCTTTCAAGAAACATACTTTAGGTTGCATTCAGCTTCAAGTTGATGGTGTACACTTACATGAAACTACTTCAGTGGCTGATACCTTTGCCAAACATTTTCAATCCCTCTATGATACCCATTGTTCTATAGACCTTCCCCCTCTTTCGCAACCTACTGAATTCCTGTCTCTTGCACCTATTTCTGATGCGGATGTCTACAAGGCCACCTTTATCGGACGAACGTCATCATATGATGTCGTTAAAAGTTAGGGCAGCTGGCCGAATGACATCATATGATGTCGCGGATTCCACGCGTGTAAGGTTTTTTTTTTTTAAATTAAATTAAAAATATAAATTGTTGTTCTATTTACATGATTTTTGGTCACCACCTTTATAAGGAGACAGCCTTCCTTCCTGCATGATCTAATGTAATCTAGCGACGTCATATGACGTTAAAAGTAAGGCCAAATGGCCAAACGACATCATATGATGTCATGCATCCCACGCGTGTAAAGTTTTTTTTAAAAATTTAAAATATAAATTGTTCTATTTACATGATTTTTGGTCACAACCTTTATAAGGTGACAGCCTTCCCTCCTGCGTGATCTAATGTGATCTACTGACGTCATATGGCCGAACGACCTCATATGATTTCGCGCATTGCACGCATGTAAAGATTTTTTTTTTGTAAATAAATTTTACTCTACTTACATGATATATGTTCACCATCTTCATGAGGAAACAGCCTTCCCTCCTGCGTCATCTATGGTAATGTGGCCTTCGTATGGTACTGCCGAAAAAATTCCGAAATGCAGAGTCCGACATCGCAGCTCACGCACTTCGTACGAACGCTAGACTGCTTCCCACGCGAAAAGCACACACGACACCACAGTTGCGATTTAGAGGAAGCAGGCCAGTGATGTCGAGCTGCAGTGATATTTATCCCCGCAGCTACACCGGAATAATTATTCACACCTCTCCACCCACACTGGTCTGGCGGTCCCCAAGGTGATGACCCTTTGTCCGCGGAATCAGAACTCCAACTTTCCTCACCACTCTCAGAATCGGTTGAATAGCAGTCCGAATCTGTGTCATTGAACAGCTGTTTCTCAATTTCAGCATCTTCCATACGACGTACATCATCGTGTGGCCATGGTGAACTAGCAGTGAAAGGTTTGCTGCCCGCACAAAATCTCTCTGTTCTTAGACCACGACCAGAAGCCATAAATCATAACCTCGCGCCCACACATACAAAAATCTCATTCACGTCTTGGCTGAACTCAATATCTGCTTCAAACATGCTAGATGATGTCATGGGTGGCTAACCTTATATTGCGAAGTTTCAAAATCATTACAAACACAATGGTTTGACTGCAATGAATGAACGAATGACCGATATGGCAACACCATATTCCGAGAATGTACTCCTGTGTCTTTCTAACAGATATTACACAGCGAGCGATTTCAAACGCCCACAGTCCTGCATGCCGACATGTCCCATACGATAAGTAAGCTTCAACAAGAGATAGCATTGTATGTGAGTTCGCCACGAAGGACTTACACGCTAAAACGCATGGTGCAGAAAATGTATTACACTGCTGGAATGCATGGTGCAGAAAATGTATGAATTTCAGGAAGTTTTTTTTTTTTTAATCATTGTAAAAAATTTTTACAGATATTAAAATCTGTAAATTAGAATATCTGATTCTATATTCTTTCTACATTAAAGGAGCGTTCATTTCGTTCGTTTATCATAAAAAATGTAGAAATCACACCATTTTTAGAAACATGCTTACAATTTCATTGCTCTAGAAGGGCAGGCATTTAAATAAACTCCGTCCAGCTGCCCCTGCGGGAAATTAAATGGCCCGTCCGATAAAGGTTAAGAGACTAAAATCCTCTAAATCTGTCGGACCGGATGATATCCCGGGGTTTGTCATAAAAGGCTGTTCGGCAATTTTTATTCCTGTACTTAGGCATATATTTAACTTGAGCCTGTCTCAGCAGCAATTCCCTACTGCATGGAAGGAAGCGACTATTGTGCCTGTATTCAAAAGAGACAATCCTGCCTGTGTGAGCAACTACAGACCCATTACCCTTCTCAACAACTTCTCTAAGCTCCTTGAATTCATTATTCACGATCATATTTCGCATTACATTAAACTTCATCCCAACCAGCATGGCTTCACC